CCTGATACCTTCGAGCGAACAATCGCAGCAGCGGCTCAGCATAGCCTTTATTATCAGGACTAAAGGGAGGTAGACTTAAGCGAGCGGTAACCATATACTATGAAAGATGCGAAGAGAATATAGGATAGGAAAATAAATGTACAAAGGAATGAGTTACGGCTTTGTACAATGTCTGTATGGCGACACTAACAGGTCAGTTACATAACCGGTGAGGAGCACAGAGCGCGTTGCAACTGCAGGTAAGGGTTTGGAAGCCGGAAGTCGTTGGATAGGCACGTTAAAGCCGGTTGTGAGGAGGTACGATAAGGGCCAGTTGTAGAACGGTTGTGAAGCTTGTTCTGGAGTTGCTGGAAGAGGATCGGCAGTTGAAAGGAAGGGGCACTGGCTAGTTTCACTAACCCACCAGCTGCACCATCTTTATCCCAGATCCGCGCGTAAACAAGTCCTACCTCATTCTCAGAATTACATTCAGTTTCCTGCGATCGTTACAATCCCACTGCTGCCACCAATGTAACGCCTTGTTGTGCGGATGACCTTGGCGGTAGCGTAGGGCTTCTACTCGATGCTTCCAGGCATATCAGACATCCTGCGAGTAGTAAGTGAACGGAAAGTGAGAACTCTCAGAAACGATAAGGATATTATCTTATGCAAAGAGAGAAATAGGAGGATCTGAATGGAATAAGAAGTACAGTATCGGAGTATAAAAATAAAAAGGGAACGTACAGAAGGTTATAGGAAAATAGTTCGATAGTGAGTGAAGTTAATCTGTAACGAGAAACAGATAAACAAAGTCAGATCTTGCGGGGTTTTCGGAGACAGTAAAGACTCGAGACCCAAAGTGGTTTTACCAGCGTCGGTCCTGAAAATGTCAAAACAAGATGAAGGGTGACTGTTAACAAAAGAAAACCTTCATCGGTTCAGGTTGGTTCGTTTCAGTAATGTAATGGCCCAAACCCGACTGCCCTTGTTTTAATCTATACGCTTAACGTCACGAGCCCTTTTTCCGATGGACAGGATTCTAATTGGACGGATTCCACGCTGTGGTCTGCCGATTCTATCGCCATTTGGCTGAAGGTCCCCCGAACCATTGCGAACAAGAGATGCGCACCGGTATCTATAAAAGTGCTAACGTTTTGCTTATCGAGTAAAACAAACAGTAAATGACGATACCGGGGTAGGTTTAAACAGTCTTTTCACTCTCCCGGCACTTTACTCCTGTAGCAACTCAGCAAATTTTGATGCTTTATATGCATACATTCTTCTCATTTTAGGAATGCGCCCTGGCCGAGCGGACTGAAGCGGAACCAGACAAATTAGACGTGTGAATAGGTCCTGGATTTGTATGCGGCTGTGTTGAAAATCGAGTAACAATAAAAGCGTGTCTAGCCAATCCGTTTCCTTCTTGTTATCCTCCGCCTTGTGCTGTTCTGTCTGGTATTGGTTTGTTGTCGCTAATTCCGACCGGTCACTTATCTCCACTTAGGCGTTTATCCGCCTAGCATATCGTCCTTCGTTGCGAATTGGTGACAGTGGTGGGGTGAGCGTGTCAGCCAACAACTCCAGTCCGAACCCCGTGCACCCGAAGAGTGAAATTGAGTTATATTTCATTCATCTCGTCCTCCCTCCGCCAGACCGCTTTCACTCTATGGGCGTTCCGCGTTGATATTAATGATTCGTCGAGGCAAACACTTATTGGACTCCTAGAGAAGTATTTTACCCAGTTCGACGTCAACAGCATACCCTTGGGGCTAAGTCATTATTTCTTGCTACGGCCGGTGAAATTTAGTAACCACTCCGATGGCGGGTCGTGGCCTGAACAGAAGCACAGAATCGTCAACGTGATACCCTGACTTGGCTGCGTATCAATCGTATCACGATTTTTGGTGTTTTTGCCTCGT